ACTTAGAAGCCCAAGAGAGATTTACTTATTAAAATTTTCTTTAAATTTTAAAAAATTGATTTTTGTATAACAGGTACAGTTATTTAACTTCAGCCAATTAGATTATATTTTTGTCTTATAGTGTTTATTTCATAGTGTTTATCTCATAGTGTTTGTCTTTTTGTGTAATACTGCCTTGTATTATATAATAGATATTCAAATTTATCACATATATTATAATACAATTTATGTGCCAAATTTTAGTTTAACCATTAGATTAACACAGATCACTCACAGATTCAATCTGAATTTCAGATTCAGATTGGATTTGGATCAATTCCAGATCAACCAGAATTTTTTTTTTTGAATCTTAAGGTAAGGCCATGCCTCTAACTTTATTAAAACTTAATTGAATCTCTTTATAAGCAAATTTACAAGAAAGAAATTATATATGACTTTTATATTCAAAGGATGTCAAGAATAGAGACTCAGACAAAAATTTTTTGCAGCCTAAATCTATCAACCAAGATTTTTAATCCAATTTCAAACACTATATATACGCATCTTATACAAAATAATTTTAAATACTGATCATACCTAAACCTTAACTCTAACATTAATAGTGAAAATTTTTAGTTAGTAATATTAAAGTTCTATAAACACTTTAGGTTTGTTTATCATATGATTACGTGATTTTTAGCATTATTTATTTTCATAATATTTTTTAATAAATAAAATAACAAAAATAAAAGCATAAGAAAAACAAAGATAAATAAAAGTATAAATAATAAAAGTATAAAGTCATGATTTAAACCAAAATATTAAACAATTTAAATAAATAAAAAGGAACTACTTATTTGAAGCAAATAGCATATAATTAACAATTCCTAAATCAGATCAACCAAACATCAAAAAAATTTAAAAAGAATAAGCCATTATGATTAATTTGATATAAATAAAACCATTTCTAAGTGAATAAAATAAAGCAGTATACATATATAATATAAGTAGTACAGCAATAAATAGCAATGTATAACAATAAACAGTAAAGATAGATTAACAAAGAATTAAAAATTCAGCAAATTAGCCTAAATTATGGGTCAGATTGCACTGGCATTGATTAATTTTGTACAAGATTACTTAAAATTTTACTATAACAATAGTCTATTTACTAAGTAAATCTATTTAGATAATAATTTTAATATAATACAATTAGTTGTTGTTATTTTTTAATACCAGCTTAAATCTGATGAAATCTGATCCATAATTCAGGCTAATTTACTAAATTTTTGTTTCTTTGCTAATCTATTTGAGCAAGCAATAAGCAGTGCAAATAATAATAATAAAATAATAATCTTTATACAAAACAATATAGTTTCTGTATAATAGGAAAACCCAATAAGGACAAAAAAAAGATATATTACACAATTAATCCAAAAATATAATCGGTAATTGAGTATAGTAACATAGTAAAGCTATAAAAAATTAGCAATCACATGATGATCTTCATATATAATCAAAATTTATTAGTCAAAATTTTTATATAGGTAGAGTATCAAAACTAAAATTTTTCTAAACCTTTAAATGAAAATATCTCAATAACTGCTTGACTAAATTCGATGAAAATTTTTTTATTTGAATTTATAAATAAACAGAATTTAAATAAAAGAATTTTCATTAAGTTTTATCAAATAGTTTTTGAATTATCTTTACTCAAAGTTTTAAAAAAAAAACTTTAAACATCAAAATAGAAGTTCAAAATTTTTTAAAACTTTGTGTGAAGGTATCTTAACAACAATCTGACCAAATTTGAAGAAAATTCTTTTATTTGAATTCTATAGATATATAGAATACAAATAAAAAAAATTCATTGAATTTGGTCAGGTTGGTGTCAAGATTTAAATGCCAAATTTTAGAAAAAAAATTCAAGCCATCTATCAAAATAGAAGCTGTACAAAATATTTCTAAAAAGATATTTTGACAATCACTTGATTAAATTCGATAATTTTTTTGATTTGAATTCTATAGCTTCATAGAATCAAAATAAATAAATTTTATCGAATTTGGTCAGATAGTTGTTGAGATATATTTGTTTTAAGTTTTATAAAAAAACTCACGTCTATCAAAATAGAAGCTGTTAAGAGAAGATATCTTGATACCCACCTAATTAAATTCAATGAAATTTTTTTTATTTGGATTCTATGTATCTATAGAACTCGAATAAAAAAATTTTCATAGAATTTGATTAGGTGGGTATCGAGCTATCTTCACTTAAAGATTTAGAAAATTTGACACAGCTTCTATTTTAAGACTGAATTTTTTTCTAAAACTATAAGCGAAGATTCTCGACAACCACCTGACCAAATTTTATAAAAATTTTTATTTGGATTCTATGTTTCTATAGAATTCAAATAAAAAATTTTTTGTCGATTTTAGTTAAATGGTTGTTGAGATATTTTCGCTCAAAAACTGAACATCTCGAAGTTGCGTCAAAATTCCTAAAAATTTGCGCGAAGATATCTCGACAACCACTTGACCAAACTCGATGAAAATTTTTTTATTCGGATTTTAATGATGTATAAATTTCAAATAAAGAAATTTTTATTGAATTTGGTCAAATGGTTGTTGAGATATCTTCGCTCAAATTTTTAGAAAAACTTTTGTTTTGATAGTTCTACTCGTATAAAAATTTCGACCAATAAATTTCGATTAAGCATGAAGATCATCATGTGACTGCCGATTTTTTATGTTACTAGATCGAATAGCTGATAGCCAATTGGTCGTATAAAATCAAGATTCAAAAAAAAAATTTTGATTCTTCCTTCTTGCTGAGGCGAGTTATTCAATATGGTGAGTTAACTTCCTGATATTTTTTTTTTTAATGAAAATAAAGCACTTTAGGTTTATAATGAATGTTTCAGACTAGTATAAAATGGGAAGAGAAAGTTTTATGTAATTTTGTATAGTTCATTGATACGCAAATTTTTCCCCAACAAAAAAAGCTACAAGATACTATTCACAGATCAAGTTTAGTATAAGAGCACTATTAATAAGATTTATTATTGATCAACTTAATCTATCCTTTATATTAAACTTTATCATTATTCACAATAATCAAATAATTTTTATCCATTGTTCTAGCTAAAAAATTTATTTACTTATACTCAATATTAGTCGCTCGTCGTGCCTGATAAAAACCAGTTTCAACATATTCTTCGTTTATTAAACACCAACGTCGAGTAAGTTATTAGTTGGATCATTAATCTGTATTGTCAATATATGCTTTAATTATCGATTTCATTAGGGGCAAGAACAAAGTCATGTTTGCCCTGACTGCCATTAAGGGAGTTGGTCGTCGTTACTCTAATCTTGTTTGCAAAAAGGCTGATGTTGATCTAAACAAGAGGTACATTTGAAGAATATTTTTAAAACGTGACATGATAATTTCTGTTCTTAATATCCTCTAAAACAACTGAATCGCAGAGCTGGTGAATTAACCAATGAAGAATTAGAACGTATAGTTTTAATTATCCAAAATCCAACACAGTACAAGATTCCAAACTGGTTTTTGAACAGGCAAAAAGATATTGTAGATGGAAAATACTCTCAAGTCTTGGCTAATGGATTGGAATCGAAATTCCGTGAAGATTTGGAAAGATTAAAAAAAATTAGAGCCCATCGCGGTTTAAGACATTTCTGGGGCTTGAGAGTACGTGGTCAACACACCAAAACTACTGGTAGACGTGGTAGAACAGTTGGTGTCTCTAAAAAGAAAGGTATGTTTTTGGTTTTTTTTTTGAAGGACATTAAAATTGGAATGATGAGTTTAAAAATCCTTATCTACATTGTCTGAAAAATATCTTTGTTGACAATATATTCTGAAACTCTATTCCAATATGAATTCCAACCTTATTCGAATTGCACTAATTAACATTAAATTTTCAGGTTAATCAAACACTAGTGATTACCGAGCCGATAATTTTGATACGGCTAAGCCTGCTATTATCTCAAAACCAATTAAATCTATCAATAATACTTCAAAATTTCGTACTATAAACTATAATCCGAAAATTCCCTCTGACCATACCTTTTATGCTGTTTATTTTACATTAATCAAAAAGACAAATGTCGTTGTATAACGTTTCTTAAGTAACAAAAAACTATAAACTCCGTTGCGTTATAATTCCAAAATAAAATTACATTCCCGAAGTGAAATTGATTCAGAATGAGGTGATACTGCTGTACTTAAAGTTAACATCTGCTTGAAGTTGCAACTTTATGTGCTTGGTGTTGCACTGGTCGGAATTAGTCCCTGAAATTATTAATTTTAGAAAATGCAACTTCAGGTAAGCACGACATTACAATGCCATTGACTGTTACGCTATAATACGACGGTATGATTCAGAGATGCAGTGAAATTAAATTCCCCAAATTTCACCAATTTCACTGATAGTGATCACAACTTCAGTATCATAGGAAGAAACTCATCTGAATCAGCCCGAATCTGAGATCCGGGCAATAAGCGTAATAATGATAGTATAAATAAGAACTGGCGAGTTTTTCAGTTATACAGAAAAACATAACTGATTGTTGTACTCAAACCCTCTTTTTTTAGGCCAGATTAGCGGAATTGAACGTTTAGACAAGTTTTTAAGAAAAAGGATCGAAAGAGGCTGTGCTTATTCGCAATATGATTGTGTTAAATTTTATTTTTGGGACAAGCTTTTGGGAGGATACTCTATATTTGACTCGTTTTGTAAATTTTTGATCCGTTTTGACGCGGGTGATCCGGTTTACTATTTTCATCTTCGCCGACTTTCAGTTGTTTCCGGATTCATAACCTAGAAGAGTTAAATGTATATCCGGATCCAAACTCTATGCTAGTGGTAAGATCACTTCTTGGTCAATTCTATCATCTATCATTTCAGCATCTATTTCAAAGAGTTTTGTAATTTATATTCGTAATTATTTTTTTCTAAAAAATGGCTCTAGAATAAACTTGTGTGGAATTTCATAATTGTAATTTATTGTTTTCTTTAGTATTTTTTATTATAGTATTGATTATGTGTATTAGCATTTTTGTTAAAATTTTTAATAATTAAGCAAAATTAGATTTTTTTTTACGATACTTCTTTTATACAAGAATTTTGGTTAGTCTTTTAAATTTTGTTGTATACTTTCTAAATGTTTTCTAAATGTTTTCAGTAGAATAATTGATTTGTCATTTTGAAGCATTGCATTCTTAAAATTCATATTTCTAAACTTCACATCTTGAAAAATCGTATTCCGGAGATCTGCAAATAAGAGATCTGCATCTTCAAAGTATTGTTTGAATAGATTAAATATTGTAATAGAATTTCTTTTTTCTTATTTTTCTTGATTATTATTATTATATTTTATTTATATATTATAGTTAATTATTATTTCTTATTAGTATTCAACATATATTATATTTTTAGCATATTTTTTCTATATTTTTCTTATATTTTATTATAGTTATTTTTAGTTAGCTATAT